GAAAACAAACAGCAGTCAAAGTACAATAATTTTCAATTCGATTGTTTGCTTAACATAAAATTAGCTTTTGATTTAGTTTAGTTTACGCTTGCGCGAATTCAAAGCAAATAAGCGTTAGAGAGAGTTGGCTCAACTGCAAATACCCTGTGGGTTCTATTAGGGTTTGACTTAGAACTTGGTCAACTATTGTTCAACTGCTTAAACTGCTAGTGACAGTTAGAGTAGGATTAGGAGCACGGGTAGGAGCTGAAATAGACCTAGGAGTATACATAGGAGAGAGAGCCAGACTAGTAGCAATAGTTGGAGCATGAAAAGCAGTAACAGTAGGAGTAGGAATTGGTGTAGTGGAGTAGGAGTAAGAATAGTAGTAAAAGTAACAGTGAAAGTAAAAGTAGGAGTAGAACTAGGAATAGGAGTATGACTCGGAGTAAGAGTGGAACCATCAGTAGGAGTAGGTATAGATGTAGGAGTAGCAGAAGCACTAGGAGTAGGAGTAAGAATATGAGTAGGCGTAGAAATAGTAGTAGGAGTAGGCTTATCACTATGATAAAGAGTAGGAGTACAAGCAAGAGTAAGAGCAGAGTAAGATCAAGCATAACAGTTGGATTAGAAATAAGAGTAGAAGTTGGAGTAGAAGTAGGCTTACAAATATGTGTAGCAAATGGAGTATATACAAGTAGCATAATATAAATGAAACTTCAACTTCAAATGAAATCAGTTTTACGAAAAGAGTAGCTCAATTGCCCCACAACAGTTCAAATATAAATTTTTAACATTTTGGAAAACAAATTAGATCTTTACAAATTTCGATTAAACTTAATGTGTCCAAAGTTAGATCACAAGTTATAGGCACAAATGAGGCACAAATCTGTGGGATATATGCTATTGTTAGTTCTATTGTTAGAGCTAGCTGGTGTGGGCTTAACTATAACAAATTTAATGTATTTAATGTGCGAGGTGGAAGTGATATTAGGAAAAGACTTTTCAGCTATTGTAGACGATTCGACGACTTTTAATATGAAGTATTACAGATAGGGGCGTAACACAAGTCACAAATGAGATACAAATAATCGAACGATGGCACAATTTGTCGATTTGATATGCTTATTAAGTCAGCTGCACAGTGAGGCCAGCTCAAGCATTTCACTCATTCATAAAATGCTTTGAATTGAATTGAACGTCAGTTGCATTGCATTTTTTTGTTTGTTCCATTGATTTCCGTTGACACGTTACGCATAATTAAACGCTGTCTGGAGGCAAGCCCCAAAAACAACTAAAATTTTAGAGAGACAAAAAAGCAACAACAACAACCAATTGACCCACATAGTGAGCGACGAGGCGAGAGACAAACACAACAACAACAACAATAAACGTTGCAACTGCAATTACGAAGCTACCCACAGAGGTGCGAAAAAGATGTTTGTCAATCGCCTAAGCTTGCAGCTTGCTGCTTGCAAAAGAATCTGTTTGAATAGACTGCTATATATTTTACCCTAATTGAGCTTTGCCTTTTGAACCTATCTCATAATCAAATTTCTATTTTCGTTTGGGCTTGCCTAATTACAAGCGAGCGTAGTACTGAGCTCAGATTTGCCTCTGTGTGCGTGTGCAATGCGTCATCATCATCATGTTGATTCAGTTTGTAGATTAATATTTTTCTTTTGTTTCACTGTTTTTTTTTTGTGTGTTATAAGCGCCAGCTACGTTTTAATAGCTGTCTGTGGCTTAACTCTGACATTGTCTGTTATTTGTTTGTTTTAAAAATAGCTAAAAAACTAGATTTCGATAAGCTTCATGTTAGCTGTAATGGCATATAAAAGTAAATATAATTTTGCTTGAATAACATATGTATTTCATATTTGATTTGTTATTAGTTAGCATTCTTTGGGCGCCATTTTATAAAAAAGGCTGCTTTCTGTAGTTGATCAATTTTTAATCAATTATGAATTTCAGAGATTTAAGAGTATTTTCGATTCTCTTTTACTTAAATCTGTTTTTATTTTCATGTTAGCTTCGAACAGTTTTAAAACTAAAACAATCTACTTTTTGACAACTGTCATAAAAATTATTCTTATTGTTTTAAAATATTTGCTTTTTAGTATATGAAAATCTTTAGCTTTTTCCGTCATCATTCATAAAACTGTTCTTGAAGAATGCATAATGTTTAGAAGCAGGGACAAGATCTATACTCATGCAATTTAAATAATATATCACTTTTTAATAAATACTTTTAGTATAACTAATCCACTCCCTAGCACTCACTTCATTCCTTTAACATATATTCAGTTTTATTCTAATTTTTTCAATATTTCATTTGTTTAGTTACTCAGCTCTTCTTTCCTACTCTTTTGTTTACATGCTGTAGTTAAACAGTGCACACATTCTTCACGCATTATTGATTAGCTCGCGTCAAGGCATTACATTTACAGTTCATAAATTCTACTTAGGTTAAACAACTTGTAAGAGATTTGGCCTTCAACTGGCCTCCTCTGCGTTGTTGTTGCTGTTGCTGTTGCTGTTTGATTTTGAGAGATCGTTTTTTAAATTTAGTTAGCTTAAAATTTTGTTTTGAAATGTTACAGATGCTTGGCGCTGGCGTGCGCGCGCGCCCATCTGCCCGGCCCTCGTTATCGGCTGTGGCTTTGGGGCTCTGGGGGCGTAATCCAAGCGCTGTCTTTCCCACTTTTCGGTCGGCTGTGTTGGTGATGTAATTACTGGCTGACAACTTTAACAACCGGTTTAAGCAATGTCCAACCGCCTGTTAAACACAATACATAAACATTTGTACTATTCGTAAAGTTACAAATCTCGTTTGAGTTCTGCGCATTTGCATGGCAGCAGCAGCAGCTGCAGTAAATGAACATTTTTATAATACCCTATAACATTTTGGTGTCTTTTTATGATGCGATTGTTAAGCGACTTCTTGGAAGTCGGACATTTGAAACTAAAAGTCTTGGTCAATTTATGATCTACCTTATTAGAGTCTTCTCTTGTTTAACACCCTTTCCAGCTTGCTTTACAGGGTATACTAGGCGGCACAGCTGGCTGCTTAGCTCACTTTCCATTTCCACACAGTTATCTTATTGTCAAAGCACAAAGAATCAAGATCTTCCACTTAAGAGCTGCTGGAAATTGCATTCATATCAACTACAATGCAGACGCTTTCTACGTGGGTGCAGTCCATCCATCCATCCAGCAATCTCATTCTCTGCATTTCAACAGCATCCTCATACTTGCATGAATTATGTGATTACAAAGCAATTTGTTGGGTTTAATGCACTGTGCGGGATTACTTAGTGACTGCATTAAGCCCCATCCTAATTTCTCTGTTTGTGTTTTGCAGCAGATGCTTATCACGTTGTCAGCAATAAAAGCAACAACAACAACAACAACTATTTTACACTTTGCCAATGATTAAAGCGATAACATTGACAATTACGTTGACAGTTAATTTAAATTTATGTCTAGGGCAGTCGCCACATGCATATATTATATTATAATTGTTGTTGCTGCAAATGCAGCTCGCTATTTTACGCTACAATACTCTATCTAAGGGTATTCTAATTTTAGATGAGATGTGAAAACAGATTATATTGCTTAAATATATAACATCTTTTCTTATTCCTTGACAGTTTTTGCTTCTATTCATGTGCTTCATCTCCGCAATACTCTCCGTAATACTCATCTCCGTAATAACCATCTGTTAGCTTGTTCTATGGTAACTCGACTTCTCTTCAAGTTTTCTTGCTCAAATTTGATATGCAAGTTTTCAGCCACTTTAGCTAGCATATATATCGAAATTGAGCGTATTACAATATTATCACTAGATATTTATATTTTATATATTATCATATTTTTTTTTATAGATTTTATAATTCCGATATATATTTTTCATACAATTCTCATCTTTTTACTATCTACTTATCTGCCTGTTCTATTTGAACTCGGCTTTCTATTAGGTTTTCAGACTGAAGCTGTCGTCACTGTTCATAATGAATTTAAATTTGCATATAAATCGTCATCAGGCAGATCGTTTTATTACAGATGGATAATATAATATATATATATTATATATTTTTTTATATATATTTATATATATATATATATAAAAAAAAAAAATAAATATATATTTATATATATATATATTTAATATAATATAATATATATGTATATTATTAATTTGGTTTTTCATAACTTTTTCTTACAATTTTTATTTTTCTATGAAAAACTGTTCTATACGAACTCAACTTTTGCACAAGTTTTCATGCTAAAATAAAATAAAATTTGATACACAGTTCATTGCGCAGCTCAGCTAGCACATAAGTCGCGAAATCATTTAAATCGTTACACTAGAATTTATTATAAGATAATTTTTAAAGTGCTAAAAAACAATATCATCAAGTTTTACAAACTCTATATATCTAATATATAATAATTATTTTCTACCACTTTCATAGAGTATTTGAAGTTCTTGTGTTTTAGAGAAAGTTTTTGGAATTTGTAACATGTTATTATGGCAATGTTTTATTTCAGTTCAACGGTGCGAATGAATGTTGCGGTGGCCTATCGCCTATTGACACTTGTTTATTTTTTGACACCCCGTTAGCATTGTTTACATGTATATATATCGTATATATATATACATGTAGAACATTGTTAAGTGTTTCAATCGATGCCATGTGCGCTGGGAACTAGCACAATACTCAATTGATAGCATTGATTAGCATTTTGAATTGTTGTATTGATGTGCATAGGGGTATTCAGCCATAAGCAATTGTAGATGATATATTTCTCAGTAGTAAATTTTAAGCGTCGACTCATTTGGTCTTGTTTGTTTATCAATTCTGCTGCGGTTGCATTTGGCAACATTGACACTTTGCCTAACCGCAAGGCAAGCGGCTGTGGCGGCTGTCTGCTGAGACTTAGCGACGTTAAACTAATGTTGACTGTCTCTACAAGAGGAAATATTAACAATTATCTGTGTGCTTTCCTCTTTACAGACAAACATTAAACGAACGGAATAAATAGATTTTAGATTTTACAATGGGCTTCAAAAGCGGAAGCAGCCCGCGCATCAACAAAACGTTGATATCGCTGAAGCTCGTCGTCTTTCTCATCATAAGCGGTAAGTCCGAGAATGGCAAATGTCGATTATATATGTTGACGTTCTACTCTTTCTCTTGCAGGTCTCACAGCCTTGCACATTTTGCATGCTACGAAACCGTTGCTGTTGGGCCTCAACTTCGCGGAGTATCGCACAATAACAATTTCAGCAGCTTTTGTCTCGATATTGGGGCCACTGATAGCCGGCCCTTGGGCTGATCGCTTGGCTGCTCGTAATCCCAATGGATTTGGACGCACGCTGCGTCGCTTGACGGCTGTCTTCTTGCTGCTGACAGCTCTGATCTACGCCCTGCTCTTCTTCGTACCGGACGTGGCACGCGAACCGGCCAAAGAGCCGGACGTGAACTTTGGCTGCGATGCCAATGGCGCCTTCATATTCCAGAAGCTCTGCAGCAACGGCACCTGCCACAACTGGGAGCACAAGAAGGGCAGCGTCAAGCTGACCCATTGCACCTACAGCTGCCTGAATCCCAACTACCATGAGAACATGTACCAGTTCTGGCTAGGCGAGTTGCCCACTGCAGCGCCCTCCACCGAGCAGAGCTCCGAGTTCGATTACGATCAGGATGATCAGGCGAGTGCTACGACGGAAAAATATCGACCAAGGCGAGATGTGAACATTGCAGATTTGGCTGCCGACAGCGCAGGCGTGGAGCAACTTAGCTCCGAGGTGCTACGCGTTAAGCGTCAAGTGAAGAACACACCGAAGAAGGTCTATGTGGAGCCACCGCATCTGTGCATCACGGAGCGCAATGAACAGGGCGAGAATGTGGTAAAGAACTGTCACGTCTACACGCAGGATACGCCCAACATTGTGGTGCAAGCAGATATGGGTGCTGCAATGACGGAGCCAAAGACCAACGAGACCGCCGGCTGGTGTCAATATCCGTTGGGTGAGTTAGAGAGAAACAAAGAGAGAAAAGGGCTAGAGCTTAAGCTCTTCTTCATATCAAAATCTTTAACAACCTTCGCTTCCTTTTCAGAGGGCATTCAGTGCAACATACCTCCGCAACAAGTGAAATATATGAAAGATTTGACAAACGGCACCGAATGCAAGCCCATTATCGAGTGCATGATTGTGGATGCCTACGATGGAGAGGACAGTGTTCTAGCTGATAGCGAGTGCATCACGGTAAGAGTTCTCCCAGAGAGACTTAAGCAACATAAACTCATCAATCTCCTATTTACAGACAACTGGCAATGTGGACGATACTCTAATTAGCTATTTGATCATTCGTTTGCTGGGCGATATCTTTGCCATGGCTACGCTGACACTGCTCAACACGGCGATCGTGATTGCAGTTCGTGAAACATCGGAGGGTCGCGGCGAGGTGTGCCGCCAGTATGTCTGGGGTGCTATTGGTTATGTGATACTCTTCTCGCCGCTGGATTTGCTGTTCAAGGAGCATCAGCCCAATCATGACGCCGCTCTGGCCGCTTTGATTATACTGATCGTCTGCTTTGTGCTTGGCGCTGTGGTGCTGCTGTGTGCCTCGCAAATGCCATTGAGTCCGCCCGAGTGGTGGTGGCACACAAAGACCGGCATGCTGGTGGTGCCCATGTCCGCCATACGTCGCTATAGCCCCGAAATCGTGGTGCTCACGCTGGTGGCCATTCTGTTCGGCACCTTCTGGAGCAGCATTCACAGTTTTCTGTTCTGGACCTTTACGGATGTCAATGCCATTTGCTATTCGGGCATCATCTTGATCTTGGTGCTATTCTTCAATGTGGACAAGTTCATCGAGTATTGCGGACATTCGAATATCTTTATTGCCGGCTTTGCCATTTTCATCATCCGTTTTACGGCGCTCAGCGATGCGCAGACCAATTGGCTAACTGTCGTCATGGAGAGCATTGAGCCTGCTGTCATTGGCCTGATTTGGATTACGATTATACTATATATGCGACATGCTATGCCACGTAAGCTAACTGCCACGGGACAGGCCATCGCTGTGCTGGCCTTCTTTGGTTTAGGTGAGTTCATAATCATGGAGTTACCCACAGTTTCGGCCTGCATAGTAATTCCTAATCTCTCTTTTAGGCAAGGGCATTGGCGCCTTGATTGGCCTGGCTCGTGAGGAGAAGCATCCGAAGCTGCCCTACTGGACCTGCACCTACCAATGGCTGGCCATCGTCGCCTGCATCATTGCCTTCGTCTATTTTGTGATTTACAACCTGATTCTGGCGCCACGCTGCACCGCCAAGCCGCAGCATTCGGAGGAGCTGATCTCGGGTTCGGCTTCCCAGAACTTTGGCACGAATGGAAACGCCAGCAATGGCAATGGGGCCGGCAATGGCGCTGGCATTGGTCCAGGTGCTGGGGCCGCGCTAAATGGCAATGGCAATGCCAACGGCAGCTACTCACCGCTGAGGGTCTACCACAACGAGCGGGGGAAGAAGGGACAATTTAGATACTAAATAGTTTACAGGCTATGTGAAAAGAGTTTTTCGATTTTTTGATTGTGTGTGGCGCACATATTTTACTCCACTTCATGGGGATATTTTTGCTAAGTGTATACACTGAGAACAACAAAAACAAAAACAAAAACTTAGAGTAACAAGTGAACTCTTTTTTAATATATATAGAACTTCTTTAATTTGTTATTTAATGCAAACTAAGCGTGTTCGTAATATTAATTTTTATGTCTAAACAACAATTATTTAGAAAGGAAGCTGCCGCCCCCGCCCTCCGCTCCATCCTAGCCGCCTCCCTCCGCACACTCTCTGTTTCATGAAGAGCTAATACTGAAGAGGTTTCAAACTGAAGGCGAACACAATTCAAATCAAACCTTTGCGTGATTTTACTAAGCATACGAATTGCATATAAATATATATACCACATGCACACATACATACGTGCATACATGCATGTAAACAATAATAATAAACAAAACAGAAATGTAATTATACCAAAATAAAATTAATGATAATTTTATGTTTTGCAATTAAGTCAAATAATAATTACGGAATTTTCATTTTTGATTGTGATTTAAATGCGGCTGCTTCCGCCGAGTAGTTGACTTGTGTCTTCTGTGCGACAAGATGTGGAAATTATGATTGAAAATTAAAATAATTTTAGGTCAACTTTTGAGCTGAAGACAAGCAGAAAACTTGCACATTTGGAAATATTGTAATGGAACATCAATAATTCTCGAATAGCAAATTTGATCCAGGCATGCTGCAAAAGGCTCAATATATACATTTAATTACATTCTCAAGATATACATTTTGGAATCGTTCACATATACATAAGAAAACACATAGGACAGATGGACAAAGCTAGCTTCAAGCAGGTCAGCCATGCAGCAAGATAAATTTAGAAAGATAATGACATGGATATAGATGCAGAAACCAAGGCAAATAGATGTATTGAGAATTTCAATCTTATACATATATACATGTATCTATGTATCCATATAGTTTTATATATGGACAGAGAAAGATTGCAATAAAGATATATATTTAGGCAAACATATAGGATAGACAAGTCAGTACAAATTATCTTTTACTTAGCCCTCTCTATATAAGACCTACAACTAGGGAAAGCACTGACGATGCTAAAAAGCTCTCCAAAGCACTCAAAAGCATGCTACATAAATGTGTATAAAAGCTTTCTCATCATTTAGCTGCAGTAACAACCATTTAGCAAAGACAACAACCAGATTTGCAAGGTTTCAATAACGTTTCGCATGCTTAGCAGCTCTTTGCCGCATTGTCAATTTATGAATGAGATTTGCTCAGCACTTGGCCGGCAATAGTCCACAGCGGGACAACCAGACAGCAGTTGGCAAGCGATTGCCACTTGACCCTATAATATATGTTGGCTAATAGCTAAAGAGACAAGAGCAGCAACTCGATATTGTGCTATGGCTATAATGTGGCTCAAAGACTAACATTAAATGATAGTAAATAAACGCAAACACTCACTCACACACCCACACACACTCTCTCATATTCATACTAGTTTATTTACGTAAAAAGTGCGAATTTTCTGCTGCATTCCCATACAGAACGCAGCAAATTTTGCTTTAGCTTGGCTCGGCTGCTTAAACCCGTCTAGCAGTCTATCGTTGACATTACACCCACACGCACACACACATGCATACATAAGCAGTCTTTGTGTGTGTGTTGAAGTGACAGTAAGCCACTTAAGACAGCGCGCATTTTATTAGTTCCTTTATTGATATTTTCACAGCAACACAATTATGAGTGCCTGCGAGAGTAACTCTGTGTGTGTGTGTGGGTGGGTGTATGCGTGCAATGAGTGTTTGTATGTGTCACGCCAGCTTAATCATCCACAAGATATATATAGCTTTATCATCATTCAGCGCTTAAATGAAGCAAAGATAATGGCATCAAGCGCGATACTGTTTTGACTTAGTTATAGTAAAGTAGCTTAGCTATTAGCTTAAAAAATATTTTAAAAAGTACTTGGTATGAGGAGTTGAACTAAGGTTAAAACTATGTACAAAATTGTTTACTGCATGAAAATTTGTTGAGTTTTTGTAGCATTTCAAGCTCAAGTTTTGAAATGCCTTTGATTAAGAATTAAAATGTGAATAAAAAACTTTGAGCAGAATTTGCCTAATATTGTTATATTAATTCAATCCAAATATAAATTTCTATTCAAAAATTCAAATCTCACGAAAATCTATTCAATTTTCAGCAAGAAATTAAAAGTCTATTTATCTTTCGTCTATTTGCTTTGCCCTATCAATTTTGAGACCGAAATCGTCGCTATATTTGCAGAATATGAAGCTAATTCAAAATGATATTAACTGATTTTACAACTCTTAGTCCGCTGCTTTAAAAAATGTAACTGAAATAAAATCCCTTAGTAAATAAATTAACCCCAGGCAGTTTTGCCAGCGCTACTGAGTACCACATGTCGTATGCATAATAAACGAAAGCCGCAACATTTATATAGATTTCTGTTTGGATTTTGTGTTAAGGGTTAGGGCTTTGGGCTGCTGTGTATGAGCGTATGCGTGTATGCGTGTGTGTCTGTGTGTGGGTTGCCAGTCAAAGTCTTGGCAATTAGGCAAGAGCTGTGGTGCAAACAAAAAAAAAATGTGACTGGCTAAAAAATGTGGCAGGAAACGGGAGATGGAGCAGAAGCTTTCCATTTTGCGTGCTGGGTAGACAGTGAAATTATTATCACTTGGCACCTAACAGAGACAGCTGGAAGGGGGGAGAAGGGGAGAAAGAGTGAGAGAGAGGGTGAGGCAGAGGGAGAGCGGCGTGTAGCAGAGCTCGACCAGAAACAGGAACAGGAACAGTCGAAGCGTTGCTGCATTTTGTGAGCGCTTTTGCCCCTATGAAAAATAGCTGTAATTTGCACAGCATAAAAATATAGGAATATGCAGTCAAGGGTGAGGTAGATGGAGGCGGCTTGGAGTCTGTTGGCGACATCCACACATACCGTGCTAACCATAAGTTAACTGAGATCCACACAACCACATGGCCACATGGTTCCATATGCAGGCGACAGCAACCGGCTAAGGCGGCAGGGAGTGGGCGGGTGGCTGGGTTGGGTTGGCTTGGAGGTTGCGTCGGCTGCAAAGCACTTGTGAAAAATAACTTTGCACATCGTTGGATTTGGTGTGCAATTTTCTCGCTCTTCTGCATCGTCGCCAATCCCCTCTGCCGCTCCCTCCACCCAGCCAGAGCGCTTACTTTTAATTTTGTTTGTAAAGAAAACTCATTTTCATCATTTTGAAGTTGCGACTGCGCTTGTCTTTTGTAAGGCGCTGCTCCTGCTCCTGCTCCTACTGCTGCTGCTCCTGCTTCTGCTGCTGTTGCTTGCAAGGAAAAACACAAATAAAAAAGGGGCAAAAAAAAAACGAGCAACGAGCGAAATACTCTCTGAAAACTGCCGCTTCATGTAATTATTTTGATCATTTGCATGGCTGCCACAGAGCCCGCAACATGCAACATGCAACATGCTAACGACTTTGTTCTGCCTCTTTTAAAAAAAGAAACATATTTTTTCTGTTAAAGCCGAAGCTGCAATTCGTTTCCTTCTTAACTTTAATACAGTTCAATTGCATGTGAAGTAAATGTTTCTGTTAACTATTTTAATTTCGTTTGTCGATGAGGAAATTTCGCATGTTGGGCATGTGAAGTAGGGAAGGGATAAAGGTTTCTTTTGTTATTCAAATTGTCTTCAGGCTTAAGAGAACATATGTGGCAGAGAAGAGGATACAGTAAATGTTGTAGTTTAGTAAAATGTAGTAAAGTAGATTGATAAGTATTTCCGACTAGAACACCAGACAAAATCAGGTATGAAAGCTCTAGTCGGGGTGTCCGACTAGGAGATACCCTGAGCCCAGTCCTATCTGCGGTTTTTAATATTTACATTAGGACACGAAGATTTTTATTTAAGGGCCTTAAATATAGTTATACATATTACTTATAGGAATATTGTAAAAATAGGTTTAAATATTAATTGTTTTACATTTTTTAATTTTTAATTTTTCAGACATTTTTCCATTTTCTTTTTTTTTATTTATTTTTGATATTTTTCCTATTTGTAAAATCAGAAAATTGTCATATTTATTTTGTAATATATAAATTATATAGCAAACATTGATTAGTGTTATTGTTATTGTTACTTAATATATTAAATATATATATTTATATATATAATGCATTTATATATTACTGGTTTCAAATATTATTTAAATTTATACATACAAATATAAAGTTATAAAAATGAAAATTAAGAGAAGGGATTCTCTGTCTAACTTAACTACACACAAAGAGGTAAATAACGTAAAATGCTACTTAATATTATTTATTTTATTACATATTTAATAAGAGTAAGTTTAGTAATTAACAATTTTAAAGAGAACACGGCAATATGGGTAACATTAACATTAACGTTACGAAAATGATCATGAAAATATCGTATTGCTAATGATCATTATCTTTAATAATAATTATCAGTAATAATCATGAACGAAAGTGATCATTATTCCAAATGATCATTATCTCTAATGAACATTACAACAAACTTCATTATTATAATAACAATTGGTGTTTATTAATAATAATTAAAAGTTACTTAAATACTGAACATTAAATATTTTTAACATTTAAACAATATATATATTAAACAATAAACCTTAAATATATTTATTTAAACAAATACAATATTTATTATACAATTTATTTAAACATAACAATTTAACAACAAAACTTAAATTTATTCACCACTTGCACTGCACTGCACTGCGACTGACCCAGTCCAGGTCAGAAACTTGACTGATCGTCCACAGCCGCTGCTGCGCCCTTTTATACCCAAAAGTCACTCAAAAGTCAACTCGAGCAGAGCTGTTGAGCACTTTTTGAGTGAAAATGTACATTGAGTTTGCATTATGTGTGAAGCAGAAGAAAAGGCGAACAGACAGAACTGT